AAAAAAAAAATAAAAAAAAAATAAAAGAGGATATAATCATTACTCTCATAAAGAAATAAAACGAGTATGTGCCCACAGATTTTACTTAACTCATTAACTATTGAAGGAACTGTTAAGATGTTACACCTGGTTCCAAGGAGAATTCAAAGAGCAGAGAGACATGTAGGAAATAAGGAATTCTAAAATGAATTTACAAATAGGTGCCAAATTGATCTATCTACAGGGCAATAATCAATAATCAATTTCCCTCACTGCCATACAGTTAATTTGCATTTGTATGGACTAGGATTATGTGCATTATCAGTTTTCTAAAATTTACAGAATTGTGAAATAATTCAAAGATAATGAAAGGTGTTAATAACCTGGATAAATGAGCTAGAAAAGACAACTACTATTCAAACAAAGTCTTGCACAATTTTTCCTGACAACAGGATAAAATTTGTCCACAGGGGAATTCTAAGGAATTTTCAAATTTTGGCAACTAGTATTACAGACGTGATGTGCATTTAAAATAATTCTTTTAAAGTTTAGAAAACTTTTTATACAGTTGTACAGAAAATATTTTAGATAAGGTGTGTGTTGAAGGGAGAGGCCATGAAAGATATGAAGATAAATCAGCTGTAATGTAAACCCACTTAACAACCTTCACCCACTCTTTATAAGAAAGCTGCTGTGGGGGAAGAGGGAGAATGATTGTTTTCCCTTCCTTTCTAAGTTCTTCTGACTAGTCAAATTGACATGAGACAGATTAATGGGCGAAAATAACCAAGTTTATTACATATCTACATATGGGATTCCTTAAGAATATGGAAACCAAGGACAATTAAGGCTTGAGCTAAGGATAAGGAAAGGGAGATTGTGGTTTGGAACTTCAAAGAGGAGGAAGGTAATTCACATGGAGATGAAAAGCAAATGTTTGGTAAACAAATATTTGCGGGGGGGGGGAGAGCATCTTTACCAAGGGACACAGAGAGGATTGGGGTCTCTCCCCTGTCTATCACACTTAGTTCATGTCAAACTATAGTTATCTCTAATGGTAATTCTCCTCCTGGAGCAGGTCCTCTATCTAAATTCTTGTAGACAAGGGGAACGTCAAGGTTCTTCTTTTTTTTTTTTTTAAGATTTTTATTGGGGAATTGAGGGGATGGGAACAGTGCTGGGGAATTGGGGGAAGGGGGATAGACAAGTTGCTGTTGTTTTGNAAAAAAAAAATCTATGTTGCTTGAACCTCAGCTGCGATTAATGCCATTCTGATTTTCTACTCATTTGTTCCTGTCAAAAATAGTGTGATTATATAAGACATCATACACTAGCTGGTGGTTCTATAATATAGTCACGTGTCAGGATTTTTCTTTATTGTGGACCAGCTGTTTAGAAGTCTATACGTTTGGGTCTAGTGATTTTTTTTCTTTCTATTGATAAAATTAATGATGGGTGGCTGCTGTCCTGTGCAGCCTCTTGGGAACCTAAACCCTTATTCCCCCAGCAGCTGGGAATCGGCCAGGCTGAAGAAAGCTGCCTTGCTTCCGGATAGCCCACTTCCTGGGGCTGCTTGTGTCCAGTGACTGGTGGATGCAGGGGTATAAAGACCCTTTTGCCACAGCTTGGGGTAACTCTGCAGGGCCATCCTAGCGTCAGCTTTCCCTGAGGATCAGCGGGAGCCTTGATTGCGACGGGATTGCAGCCCACCTCCCTCTTCCTGTCTGCTTCCTTCCCTTCCCTTCCCGTCATCTCCCACAGGTGCAAAGCCCAACAGCAGTCCCCAGTGTGTTTCTGCACAGCAATCCCCATCTCAGAGTTTGCTTCTTGGGGAGCCTGGCCTGTAACACTAGGTATATAAGTATTATTTGTGATTGAAATGTGGATCAAGTGCACATGGAGACGTCATGTATACCTATTTCCCTAATTCACGGGATGTGCCCATTTCACATAGTTTTAGAGGACAGCTCAAAGTTATATAACAAAGTCTCTTTAGCTCTAATAGCATTTATGAATTGATCTGCCCTTGGTGGCAGTCAGTCTCAAAATGATATTTTCCATTTAATAAGTATGTATTGAGCTGATCTAGAATGCTGGGGACACAAGAGTGAACTAGAGACACAGGTCCCTGTCCTCGCGAAGCTTACCTTCTAGTGGGGGACAACAAATCATTAGTAAACAAGTAAATAATGTAATTTCAAATAGTGACAGATTCCAAGAAGAGAAAGAAATGGGGTGATAGGACAGAGAGTGATGGAGGGCTTCCTCATCGAGAATGGTCTGGGAAGGCCTCCATGGGGAGGTGACGCTTGAGGTGAGATGAAAAAGATGAGGAGCAGGCACATGGTTTGGCCCAGCTCATGTATTAGTTTGTAAACTAGTTTGTTTTAGTTCGTTAGAGAGATGATTTGGGGCATGTTATAAATCTCTGATGGTCCAAAGGCTGGTTATCTGATATGGGGGTATAATTGATCACATGCCCAGTCAGATCTCTAAATGTCTTATCGATATATGTATTCTGTACACGTTTTGTAAAAACTACGTTTGACCCTAGAGGAAAGGATATGGGGACTCCGTTGCCCAAAATGAGATCAGAGTGCATCACTGTGGAACCAGCATGAGCGGGTAGAAGGTCTGTGTCTGTGAGGTGCCTACAGCCCTTGCCTCATGTATGAAATAGCGCTGTGTTGCCTTTCTTAATGCTGCCCATATTTTGCTTTTGCATAACAGGTGGAAATAGAAAAGAAGTGGATTAAAATCGACGGAGAAGACCCCGATAAAGCCGGCGACTGCATATCCCAGTAGGAGTAGCAAGAGTTAAAGACGGCGACCTACTTTTCAAATGTGTAATTCACAGAAACCACACACAGTTCTGCGACTGTACAGTGAAAATGACTTCTGAATAGAGGGCTTAGGACTGTCCAATGGCTGTGTTTAGGGAAACTTAGACCTAAAACCAAACAATCTATATTTTATGCTTTTGATATGTGTGTACCCCAGGGGTTTGACCTGAAATGTGTCTTTGTGTGATGTTTCTGCTTCCTGTTGAAACTCAAAGGTGCTGTTATTCAATGTGTGACTCAACATCCAGCTTGGCTAAAGTTGTTTTGATTTTTGATTACTCAGTGGTTGATTGTTTTACACTCTGGATTACCAAGGTGCCATGTTTATCCTCCAGTCCCTATCTCTTCTGGCTGTGTTAGCACCCATGCTGGAGGGGTGAGGCAATCAAAGGAAACACAAAACAAAATACTTAATTTTCCTTTCCCTATTGCTCATCCCTGAAATGTGGCTAGGTGTAGAATGATGCTGAAACCACAGGCTAAAGTGGAGATGTGGAGGTATCTGTGATTTTGAATTATTTATCTTCCTGTCCTCTTAATACATTGGTGAGTAAGCATCCTCTATATTTGGTACCTGGCTTTCCCCCATAGTATTATCATTTTCAAAATGGATTTGTATTCGAGTGTTTTGTTACAAAGATCCTATTTTTGTTGATATACATATTTCAGTACAAATCAGTAAGACATATTGCTTTTTGCTTAGAAAGATTCCTTTATAAAAATGGAATCCCAGTATTGGACACTAGTTAAAATATTTATGTACATTAAAGATGAATTTTTAAAGTTCATGAATATGGTTTCCCAAAAGTACAGACTCTCAGAATGTATTTTGATAAAGTATTATTTGTAATTAATACAAGGCTCTTTTGAGTAGAAGTCTAAGTCATGCTATGATTATTTTATGCTAGCTCCACTACTATGCTATTTTTGCTAATACTGCTAAGTTTAGAGTATTTTTTCTTTAAAAGATAAGCAAAGTAAAACACACTAGATTGTTTTACCTAGATTTCTAACAGGGGACTTTTTTATTCTTCGAAGTCAGGTAAATGTTTGGTTTCTAATGAAAAGCCAATGGCATTAGCAGTTATAATTTTGTTTATAACTTCCTTTCAATATTTACAGTAAAAAGTCAAACTTTTAAAATGTAAAAAAAAAAAATCTATGTTCTAGGTATTTTTTTAGTCTGAAAAACAAAGTCCTCCATGTGATATTAATACACCTTCAATTTATGTTGAATCTGAAATATGATTAGGAGGTATTTTTCTCTATTTACTAGATTTGTTTTGCGTCAAAACTGATATAATAATGTTCTTCCAAACAACATTTATTTGTCGGCCCAGAGTATATTATGTCTTATGTTTTATTTAATATTGTATTACATTCATTTTAATCTGTTCCAAAAACAGATTAAAACAAACATTTATGATGGTTTGTATCAATCAGCAGACTTTATTACTTTTCATTATATGGCTATAACAGCAAATAATGCAAAAGTTGACTGTTGAAGTGAATTGATATTGCTCTTTTTAACTCCACTTGATGCATTGCTCATAATATCATACTTGAGACTCACTGTTGATGTATAGGAGGGCAAATCTGTGTGTGCATCATTTAGGAAAAAAAAAATTCCACCATCTTTCCTCATCATCTGGTGTGGCACATTCTTGAGCGACTTCAAGCTGCTCAAAATAAGTATGGAGGCAGGCTGCAGCTGATGCTACTGCAAGATCCCAGGGAAGTCGGGGCTGGGTTAATTACTGCCATTCCTTTCAACTCTGTTGTGTGGCACCCTGCCCATAAAGAATTCAGAGTCTGATTCAGATGAACTTAATGAATATTTACACCTCAAAATAATTTCAGCAAAGGGTTCAATTCATCACCCCTCATGCTTCACAGGTTGCCCTAGTCTGTGTGGCCATCTCAGTGCTGGGGTCATTTCTTTACCAGCCATCCAGCCTTCAGGGGCATCTCAAGAGTCAGTATTGGAAACACACTAACAAAACGCTGACTAAAGCCCAAATGGAGTTTCTGCCTCAATGCAAGGTTGACAGCATTAACAGTGGGGTGCTACGGCATAATTGTTAATTTGCACATCTATTAGGATCCTTAAATATGCATTACTTAATGTTAAATTAACATTCTGTGTAGGGAGGAGAAGCTTTTTAATACAATTCTTCTGACCTCAGAAATGGCAGAAGGTCAAATGTGACCATGGTGCTATAAGTGAAAAATCAGGTTGGGTCCACTTAGACTTACAAATTGAAGCACAGTCTCCTTTGCTAGAAAGTAAATGATGATCTTTGAGACAACAACTACAATAACAAAAATTGGGAAGGGAGGAAGGAAATGAGTAAAGGAGGAACTATCCCTTTTAAGCCTTGTAATTTAGATACTTTAGATCAACCCTTTCTGAGTTTGACTGGGTTGGGGGTGGGGGGGGTGTCAGTCATTTGATTGACACATGGCAGGCTTCCAAGGACTTGACCAGTTTCTAACTAGTCATCTTGCTCTAATTGTTCGGATCTGGATACCTTACCGGTCAAATGATCATATTAACTGTAAATGAATTCATGGCTTGATAGTTACCTGATCAATTGTTAGATCAGAATTTAAGGATATTTTCTTTTTCTATGGGAATAGAAATAGTTTATCCATTTAAAAAGGTATGAAAAAAAGATACTTTCCAGCGCATAAAGGCTGGAATTTTTTAACCTGATTTATATATTAGACAATTCTAGGGTTTAGTTCCCTTCATTCTGGAGCTGTGCTTATGATGCAGCCCTTTTCTTATAAATTCAGTTACAAGGCCTTCCTTAATAATGATTAAGTATTATCATATCTTACTTAAAATATTATTTTATGTCATATCAATACAAGTATCAAACAGATTGAACCTTAATCATGTAACAAAGTATTTGGTAGATTGCATATTGGTTTTTCAAAATTAAAGATGTATTTCAAATGATTCTTGCTGTGCGATGGACTTATATCTTCTTTTGCAAGGTCTGAGGCTATTTTTTTTTAAGGTATGAAATCAATTTCAATGACCTTAAACGATCAACTCCCTGTCAGGCTAATGTACACTGCTTTACTCTTAAGAAGTCAGTGAACATGGCATCTTGGCACATTCTGGAAAAATAACACCACCAAACTCTAACTTGTGATGTTAAAGGATGACTTTTAAAAGAGGATATAATCGAGCCGGCCGAGTGGCGCGATGGTTAAGAACTCGCTTGGGATGCCAGAGGGCCCCGGTTCGGATCCCACATATGAGGGCCAGTGACACTGCCCTCTA